TTGGCCAAAGATATGTAGAAACTTTTAAGACCATCTGGGGAAGAGAGTAAAAATTGTTTTAACAGCTATTTGTTCCTGATGTTAACTAAGAGTGGCTATAGACATGGCAGTACTGTGGGTTTAACATGAATTACAAGTACTTTATGTCTCCTGGTATTTCACACCACTTTGTCCAAAATATAATTCTGGAATCTTTTCACACCCAGTATACATACAGTGTTCCTTGCTTCCTGGGTGCAAAGGAGATGGAGGTACAAAGGTAGTATTTTGAATGAGGCTATTTTACTTCAAGTGCACTTCTTGGAAACTTACTACGAAACATGACAAAATAAAGAATGTGGACTCTTTACATAGTAACATATAGATGTATTTCCCTTATATTCCCATGTGTATCCATATTGATTAACTAATCTATATTATTTATATAATAATATTTTACCCCACTGTTAAATACCCATTGACTTTCTTACCAACCAATCACAATTTCTTTATTTTGATGCTATGTATAAATATTTGCCATATTATCTCTCTTGTCTTATATTTGAGGAAATGGACTTGTCCATGAAACCTTACATTATAATAAAATAGTATTTAAGGTGCCACCATGTTCTTTTATTTTTCTTTTGTTTTCACCTATCTATATGTGAATCACTGAGGAGTGGAATATCTCATTACCTTCCTTCCTTATTCATATGTCATAGTATGAGATTTTGCTTTGTCCCATCTAAATGCCCATCAGGAAAATAAAAAGACTCTCAGTGTCATACCCATCATAAATGTGGAGGGGCTGAGGAAAGATATAGCACATTTTCCATTTCTATATTGTATTCTCCTGGCTCTCAGTTGCAACATTTGAAAATCAGGCATTTTGCCTGATCAACTGTGGTAGGTAAGATCTGCCTTTGAGTAACCAGAAAAGCTTTAGTAATTCTAATTCCTTCACTTTTTTCTAGTACTAATACAGTCACAGATAAGCTATGGGTTGGTATGAGAACCGCAATGTTACAGAGGGTGCTTGGTTTCTACCTGTTTTAAGAAATCTAGAGAGTAAGCTTCTTTTCAACCTCTGCTTGATGACCTGTGCAGAAGAAGGGACTGAAAGTTGTTGGTTCCATATCAATTTGCTTTTATTTAAAATTACTTTGTGTATCCATCAACTGGAATCCACCTTCTTGCAACTGGAGTCTCTTAGATCTAGTCCTGGTGCCCAGGAGCAGTAAAGTACACATCCTTGACATCCGTGACACACTGTGAGCCTGTCCCAGCCGTGGCTGGCCAGTGTAGTAGCAGACCATCTTCTTGGGCACAGGAGGCCCGCTTTCTCCACACGACACCTGGGTCTTGGGGTGAGGCAGGGGAGAATGCCATTGCCCTTGCAAGTGCAGCTGTGGAGATGGATGACCTAGGGAAAAAAAGGCAAACCAGAAGACTTTGGAGAGTGAGGATCAGTGGGAGGACACAGAGGGCTGGTAGATGGCATTTGAATGAAAATAAATCTCTGCTGATCCACTCCAAGGGGAGCTGACAGCATTACCTGAAGAAGCTGCCAGGATAAGATGGGGCAGGATGAGGCTTCAAGAACCAAGGCATCTGGAAAACGAAAGAAACACGGAGTGCTGCTGGAGACAATAAGGATAAGTGGCTGACACCCCCTCCCCCCCGTCTTGAGCCTGAGGTTCTCCAGTCAGCTCACTTGGCCTGATCTCTGCCTCCATGCCCAGCCATCTAATGCAGCAGTTTCTGCCCAAACTCTGGTTGTGACACCCAAGGTGTGTGTGCATACATGCATGTTCCCTCTGGCAGAACCCCAAGACTAGGGAGTGTGGCCAAAGAAGGGCAGTGTACCTCCTGCCTGCAAAGCCTCTGGTGGTTTTCCTCAAGAGACCATGAACTTTGGGAAGTGAAGTAACTCCCCGAAAGCCTCTGGTGGTTTTCCTCAAGAGACCAAATTTACTTATGAACTTTGGGAAGTGAAGTAACTCCCTGGCACCCATAAAACTGTGTTGACCCATTTGACTAGGGTTGTGGCTCATTGCAGGAGCTGGACCTTGTTTCGGACTTGACTGTTACCAATGCACAAGAGCCTGTGCCCACAAGGATTTCTTATGTTTCTGGCTCAGCAGAATCTGGGTCTGAGAAGAACTGTGTTGTGCCTGTCCTGGAGTGGCCCAGTTTTGCTAAGGACTTTCAGTTTTCAGTCCAGAAAGCCCTAGGTCTGCCTCCCCAGCCTGTTGGGGCCTGAGTCTGCAAAATCCTATTTCTGTTTAGGGTCAAACAAGACCCAACTCTGTAAAAAGTCTTTTGGTGCAAGTTGCTTTCTCCCTTTAATAAAACTCAATTTTCTGCAAAGTCTTACCTTTGCATCATGGAGGGGGTGGCAGGGAGGGGTCAGCTCATACACACCTTCAGATATTTGAAAGGTGCTTCAAATTATGCTCCCTCTTCCCCGTGTTTTGTTCTTTCCAGAGTAAGCACATCCAGCTTCTTCATCCTTTCTTCATAAAACCTGGTTTTGATTCAACTAGTTCATTGGTTCCCAGCCTTGAGTCTCCAGAAGTTTTTGAACTACAACTCACAGAAATCCTGGCCAGCACAGCTAGTGATTAAGGCTTTTGAGAGTTTTTGTCCAAAAATATCTGAGGACCAAAGGTTTGGGAACCACTGTGTTATTTATTCTTTTCTGGACATGCCTCCTCTGGCATTAGGTATCCCTTCCAGTGTTTTGTGATCCACAAATTTGATAAGTAGTCTCACCATGCAGTCATTCAGTTTACTGATATATATGCTGGAGACTATTGGATGTAGAAAAGAGCTCTGTGGAATTTCACTGAAACCCTTCCAGCTTAATGAGGCAACCATGATTACATTATTTGACTAGTTTTAGATGCACCTGACAGCAGCATCATCTAGCTCACATTTAACCAGAAAATGCTTTGCTGAAATCAGAATAATTTGACTGCCAACACACTATTAAACCGATAAGCCTATTTTTAAGAAGGTGAGATTGTCTGACAGAATGGTCTGGTTTCCTTACATCCTCTTTCCCTGCTTCTTCCAAGTATTTCTTTTATGCCAATCCTGTGATACCCCCCTCCATTCTCCAGGATTTCTGAAGACAGGCAAGATTCTTAGATTGCATCAACAAACTATTTTAAATGTTGTGGTGAATTGGAACCTATTTAAGATAGGTGGGACTTTTCATGACTAGCCTCTTACCAATCAGCAATCTTTATCTCTCACCAGCTACTTTTCTGTGTGAAGTTGCACACAATTCCCCTTTGGCGAGCAAGGAAAATAAAGGTCCATTAGTCGCTGTTTGGTTATGTCACAACTTGGGTTTTCCTTTTCTAAATTTCCATCATTCTTTTTTGAAAACTAAGGGCTGTTGGGATTTCCTCATAATAACATTTTATAATTTCTCAATTTTTGGCAAGAGTCCAAATGTTGTGTTTATGTTGTTCCAGTAGCTTTTTAGCAGCCTGCCCCTGGTCCCCAACCTTCACTGTGTTGGATCATGATTCTGTTACCTTCACTTTATCTTTTTCTCCAATAACCACTGTCTTGGGTCCTAATCTTGCAAAAGCTCCCTTGTGTTGGATCAAGATAAGGTTCCACTGAAGTGTGTTGCCTGTCGCTTGCCAAGCAGTAGATCTAAGGTGCATGAGTTAGCACAGTCAAGTGCTCTGAATCTGCTAGTCCCCTCTGAGGTAAACTTTTGCCTGTGGTGGTAACGAGGAAGATGACTGAACTTGTCTAGATCAACAGCAAAATGTAGCAGTCCAAGAAGATTGGTATGGAAAGTAGGCTTTTTGATTCTGGGCACCCACAAGTTTGATGTGTTCCTCCCCATGGAAGCGGTTGAGTGGCATATCGGATTCTGAATATAAAACAATATGCTAAAAATTTGTGACAGTTTTTTTTAAAAAAACATCCATTTCAGTCTTTACAAATAAGCAGTGTGAATCAGAGAAATATGCCAGTCCTTTGTAGCTTACATTGTAAAAGTGTCAGTGTGTATGAAAGTAGAAGAGAAAAAACAATGGTCACTGGGAGAGTAATATCCATTTGGACAGCACACTGAACATTATGTGCCCATAGCACATTTTTTTTTCTTAGTAGGAAACTTAGCTTGAGAACAGAGGTGTGAGACAGGTGTAAAGAGTAGAGTGCTGGAAAGTCTTCATCTTTAGGTCTTTACTTGTCTCTGCTTGTGTGTTTGTGTGTAATATTGTCATAAATGTGTGAACTGAATTGAAAGTGATTGGAAGTTCCTCACCATTCTTGCTAGGAGAAAAGTGTTTCAGTTCCTTGTTCTTCTCCGCAAGCATGAGACAAGTGTGTACAGCTCTAGGCTAGAGCTGGTTTTGGGCAGAACAGAAGTTTCTTGTTACAACAACTTCTGTGGCCTACTGGTTTGTTTTCATATGTATCTGAAAGTGCTGGTTATGATCCATTAAATCCTATATCGCCTGTACATTCCCATATGAGCTTGTCTGAGCTTTAAGAACTTCAAGGTAAACCAGTCTTCCAGTCATGTCACTCTCACAGGTGCATATGGTTGAGGGCACAGGTGAAGGAGCCTTGTCAGTGACTGCTCCCTGGTGGGTGGAACTCTTTTCTGAAGGAAGGAAGCTAGCCTGGCCACATTCCTGCTTTTCCCCCCCATAGTCAGGCAGATACATTTTTATTTAGAAGGGGCTTCGGCCACTAACTGGTTAATGGTTTTTTTTAATGGTAGGCCTTCCTTCCTTCCTATTTTTTATTTTCATGATATTTAGATATTTGAATTCAGTGCTTACATTTGACAGCTAATATATATAATTGTGTTTTTACTTGCATAAATTACTGTTTTTCTACCAGTTACCTGTTTCAATTGCTGTTGTTTGTTGCCTTGAGTCTTGCACTGGGAGGAGGTTTGGACTGAAATAAAATGAATGCACAAATAATTTACCAACTATGATTTGAGAATATTTTTTCATATTTGCTCTTCTTTCTTCTAGCCAGAAGAGCAAGCTTCAAATTCTCATACTTTCAAGAGTAAGAACTTTAAGAAACCCAAAGTGTGCAACATTTGCAAACAAGTCATTGACCCACAAGGCATTTCATGCAGAGGTGAGTCCTGATGGGTTTTGTGTATGTTTTACTTTAAATAGCTTTGCCTTTAAAAAATAAGTGCCTGGATGTGTAGGAGTTCTTAGAAACATAGGGACACCTGAGATGGATGGGAGACCCTTCCCTCCAGATGATGTTTGTCTTGCCAGCCTGCCTTTTAAAAACTTGGCCTGCTTTTGCATTAGTCCAAGTGTCCCTGTTTTCCTTCCTCTGAGGATGATATTGTGGGTGAGGTGGCCCTGGAGAGTGGCTGCTCTGCTGGCATTTTGCTTAAAATGGTTGCAAATGTTGCCAATTCTAAGTCTATTTTAGACACTTGAGTTTAAACAGTATCAACAACTACTGAGGCAAAGCAGTGATGGTGCAGACATTCATCAGGCTGTTGCGCATGATTATTTTGCATCATATGAAGCAGCAGGGAACAGATTTGACAGTTGCTCGCAAAAGCTGCAACAGCAAAAGAGGAAGTGACACTTCATGGTGGGACAGCAGCATCTTACTCATTGCCCATGGGAGCAAAACAGTAGCAGTGTGAACTAAGAATTCCTGCAAGCACTTCTGTTTGGAAGCACAGTTTTGATTCACCCTAGGTAGTGGGGTGCATGAGCTGTGTTCCCTAAAACACTGTGTAGACATCCTCCACAGTGTTACTTATCTGCCAGGGAATGTCAAAAGTGTTCCCCAAAAGGTGTTTGAAAATTACTAGTATAGATTATATCTCAAAACTTTAAAAAGTTGTACGTTTTAAAGTATCAAGCCCTGGATATTCAGTATACAGTTTGTGAAATAGATGCAATAAAGTACCAATGGTAAGTTTTACAAGCTATAATGTACTTTGGTAGTGGTGGTATGGGAAGAGCACACTATAATTGTTGTTTTGTTAAGAATATTCTAAAATTGTAAACAAATACTAGAGTGGCTTTAAATGACCCCTCTTTTGAATGGGAACTATAATCAGTAATGATATGATAGCATGCTAAGAAATAATTAGACCACACTCATGGGGTGGTATTGCCTTGAGTGGTGAATTTAGCTTTTCAGCAGAAAATCCTCAAGGAATTTGGGCTTTCTGTGCATTTTTGCTAATGAGAATCCTTTTGCCAATGTTGTAGTTCCCCAGATGTACACACTGGAATGTCCTTAAACTATGGCATGGGCCCAAGCATTGTTTTCTGCAAGAACTTTGGGAATTTTTGCAAGTCCTGACCATTTAGGCAAGCCTGTTTTTGCCCAAACTTGTTTCATTGGCAAATTCTCAAGTAGGCAATCATTGTTTTCCCTCCCCAACAATGACTTTGGAAGAGTGTTATCACCTGATGTAACATTCCTCCCCAGAGGCATTGTGTGTTTGTGTATATGTGTGTGTGCATGCTTGGGAGGAGTGAACTCAGAATGGCTTACCAGTACTTCAGTACTAGGGGTGGCCCCGGAGTGACTTACTGGTACTTTTGCTACAGCTGCTAAAAATATTAGAAAGATAGGGAGATAAGACTTTTAGTCTTGCATTCCAAATTTTCAGATGCCTTCCAGCATCCTGCTGATTATGACTTGTATCCAGTTACTAAACACAGTGCAAAAGAGAAATCTCATTGGCTTTCTCCCAGATTTGGCAGGCTCCCTCTCACATGCCCCTTCTTGTGCTGGTTGCAAGATAGTAATGCAATTGATCATACAGTGGGTGGCCTGCTGGTGTGCAGAAGAATGGGGGGAAACTTTGTTTATGTTATCTATATGTTGCCCCTCTTCCCATGGGTAGCTCATGATCAAGTTAAAAATACTGTAAGAAATGTACTAAAAACAGCAAAACTTTTATTAATATTTAAACCACGTTTGAAAACATTTTAAAACATTTAAAAATCTTTAAAGTCAATAAATAAAGCACTCCTGAGACCCCTAATTATTTTTTTTTAAAATGTCAGGTCTTTGCCTGATGGTAGAAGGACAAAAGGGAGGGGGCCAGCCCTGCTTGTCGGGGCAGTTATTTCCCCCACATCTGTTTTAACTTACTAAAACACTAGAGATAACGCAGGAGATTTATGAAAACAGACTAGCACAAATGTCTTGTGAGCCAAGAGTGGATTTATCTGGATGGTTGGTGCAAATTCCAAATTAATAATCACATGCTTGTTGTTACTCACCTCATTGTCAGTAATGGAGCTGGAAGGCTGAACAATGGAGCATAACATAAAAATGAATGACTCATCTGAATGACTTGGTATAGATAGCTGGTTTAGCTGGTTCAAGAGCCACATTGAAACCACTGGAAAAGTAGTTGGACCCATGGCTACTCTTCATACTTAGGGAAACAGAACTGGTAGCATTCTCTCTTATGGTCATGATTCTCCTTCATGGTCTTTGTGATCACGTACTAGTGGGCTTTTTTTTTTTTTTGCAATTATGCAGATTGGGTCACAACATTCTAGAACTGAGTTGAACAATTTGGACAAGATTGGATGCTGGGGGTGACTTTGCCCCCCCCCCAACCCAAATGTGTTGCCTCATTTGGCAAGTGTGGATATGGCATAGCTGGGTAGGCCTGGGATATGTGCAGCCTCAAGATTCTGCAAAACTGAAAAAAGAAATAGAAGTAGTAGTTACAACTTTTTTTTCCTGAGTGTTCCTATTGAAGCACCTGTTTATGTGACTATGAGAAATGGGTAAAAAGAGAATATTCTGACAGCTTTGTAAGGACAAGAACAAACTTGCTGCACGCTGTATGAGTGTGGTTGTGCTTGTGTCCTGCTTGTTGGCTTCCCGTAGACAGCTGGTTGGTAACTATGTCAAGACTATAGTAGACTGAAGGGCTTTCAGTTTCATCCAGCATGACTCTCAATACTCTTTCTATGGACGAGAGGTTGTCGTTTCAGTTTTGGGCCAGTTTAGCCTAGAATTTGTGCTCTATCATAAGGGAGCCTTTTTAGATAATGCATTGTGAAAAGGGTGCAGTGTAGACCAAATAACTCATCAATTATTTTGAAAAGCCTTTAAAAAAATCATATGATGCTGTTTACCAGAAGATGACCCTTTAACCCATCTGATAATGAAATACTTGTTAATAATTCTTTACCCTTAGTTTTCTTATGCCACTCTCTGGCCAAACTAAATGCTACAGTAGAGGTGTGAAGCCTATGGCTCTCCAGATGTTATTGGATCAGAATTCCCCTATACCCTTGTCATTTGCTATGCAGGTTAAAACTGATGATATCAGATGCTGAACAAGATTGAAGGGTGACAGTTTCCTAACTCCTGTGTCACATAAAACAGCTGGCTAGATGTCAATGATGCCAGTTGCTTGTTTAGTAAATCCGAGCAAGCTGTTTTGCTTCTAGCTCATTGTCTGCTGACAGTAATGGTGTGGATGAGGGTGTATAAACTGAAACTTAATCCAGACAATACAGAGGTGCTCCTGATCAGATGAAAGGCAATCCAGGGATCAGGGATTTGGGATTCAGCTCCAGACAAGACAGAGGTGCTCCTGATCGGATGAAAGGCAATTCAGGGATCAGGGATTTGGGATTCAGTTTATGATACTCCCTCTGAAAACACAGGTATGTACCTTGCAGGTGTTCCTGGATTCATCTCTCAGTCTGGATGCACAGGTTTCGGCAGTGATCAGGAGTGTCTTTGCACAGTTAAAACTAGTGTGGCAGCTGCACCCATTGCTTGAGATGTCTGATCTGACTACGATGACACATGCCCTAGTTATGTTTTGGCTGGATTAGTGTAACATGCTCTAAATGGGGCTGCCTTTGGATAGTGTTCAGAAACTCTGGCATGTCTAAAATGCCACAGACAGAATGCTAAATGGGGCTGGTTACAGGGAACATATAACTCCCCTTTTACAGCAGCTCCACTGGTTGTTCATCTGTTTCCAAGCAAAATTCAAAGTGCTGGTTTTAACTTATAAAAGCTTTAATAGCTTGGATCTCATAGGCATCCTTCAGTCTCGAGAGACTATGATAACGTGCTCTGTATGGAGGACTTGGAACAGCGTCTAGTGTTTTTGACGCTGTACGCAAAGCTGGAGTGTCCTCTCCAGGGCACGAAGCCTGGGTAAAATAATACAGAGGATAGGCTGTTACCCAATCAGAAAATCCCCCCTCTCCACGTCACTGAAATAACCCAATGGAAAGGCAAGAGCCAATACAACTGGTTTCAGCGATGTCGCAGGAGTTGACAGAATGATACGAACTGCCTCCGG